ATAAAATTTAAAATTTTGTTTTTGACGCAACAATTACTTTGAAATTTAAAAAAATGAAAAAATTACCATGTAAAGAAGACTTACCCAAATATTTGACTGAAATCTTTGTAGTAAAAAGTGGTCAATTTGATGAGAATTGCAACGTTCACTTGGATTGCGAGACCTTCAAATGGACACGTACCTAAAAAAAAAAAAACTTAAGATTCATTTTTTACTAATTTTTTATTTTTTTCGAATTTTTCTTAATTTTTTTTGTTTCTGTTTTTTTCCCCTATATTTTTCTCCGGTCGCCGGTCCGGCGACCGGCTGAGGCCGGCGAGTTCGACCTCGCCTGCCATGGGCGAGGCCGAGCGGCCTCTGGGCGACAGCGAGGTCGACCGCCACACCTGGGCGAAGCCGCTCGGCCTCCCCCAGATCTGGGGGAGGCCGAGCGGCCTCGCCGGTCGCCGGTCCGGTGAAGAAATTAGGAAAAAAAAACAAAAAAAAAATCAATAAAATAAAAAAATTCGAATCCAGCGATGAATAGTTTTGCGACAAACCGTATTCGTCGCCAATTAGTCACGAAGTTAGCTATGATACTTACCGGTAGAAAAGCTTTACCGAGATTGATTTGTGTGCGCACGCATAGGTTTATTGAGAGAAACGAAAGAGGGAGAAGGAGGGAGAAAAGCGAGGGGGATATGAGGAATCAGTACAGAGAGAGAGAAATTGAGGGTGGGGGTGGATATCACGAAAGTTATTTTCCGTCATAAATTACAAATTAGCAACGAATTCGTTTTCGTCGCAAAATCCGTCGCAAATTAATGAGGAATTTTTTCTCCGTCGCAAATTAGCGACGGTAAAAAAATCTGTTGCTAATTTCGTCGCAAAATAGTAAATTTCGTTGTATAAATTAGCGACGGAAAATAAATTCGTCGCTAATTCCGTCGCAAATTAGCGACGACCAATTTTCCGTTGCTAATTTGCGACGAATTTTTATTTCGTGGCAAATTCCGTTGCAAATTAGCGACGAAAAATTACCCGTCGCAAATTTCCGTGGCAAAATCCATGTTTTTTTTGTAGTGTTTGAGCCATGCTTGCAAGCCCATGTCTAGGCCTTCTGAGGTCGCACAATCTTGGCATCGCCTCGCTTGGGATCGCAAGACCTCGACGACCATTGTGACTAGACCTTCCAGACGACTCAAAGTTGGGTTTATTGCAATTTCTATTTTTGTTTTAACCATATTCCCAAAACCCTGTAACTGAAAGTCCTTTAAGTTAATGTGAAGGCATTTCCAAAAAGCTTTCCCAAACACTTTCTAAACTTGTACTCGTGTGACACATTTACCCTCCTTCAAAGTTGATAACCGTTAAATATCTGCCTACATGGATGCCAAAAAGCAAACGGCGTTGACATGAGTGAAATAAAAATGACGTTATTTTTATTAGAAAATTATCTAATGAAACCTTGACGGAGGAGGATAAATGTGTAACATAAGTAAAAATTTGTAGTTTTTTATGTTATAAGAACAAGTTTAGGTATGTAACAGTGGGCATAGTTTAAGATTGTTTTTTTTATTATAGATTTTTCCCTTTTTTTTTTATATAACCCATTTGTCCTAACATGAAAGCCCCCAATGGATTAGAGCCTTTCTGCCTTAGACCAAATCCCTTTGTGCAAGTATTTTGGGCGGTGGATGGGGCATCACTTTTCTTAAGTTAGTGTAATACATGGACATGGATTTTTATCTCTCCATAAAGGAATAAAATCTGCTTTTCAGCTAAGTAATTTTGAATTTAAAATGCGTGGGAAATTCGAAAAAATAAAAAATCCAAATTACCTTTTATGAATTCTGCATTATGTAAGATATATGACCCCAAAAAGCAACAAAATCCATTTTATGACCAATTTTTGTGAATAATAATGACTAAGATAACCGATTGGTCATATGTACTTTGTGGACTGCATCAGTGCTTGCTTACCAGCTATTGTCCAAAGATGCGACAGACCTATGTATTGTAGTAGCTACCCCTAAGGCTAAGCATTGGTCGATTGATTTGATTCTATCAAAATTATACCAGCCTGGAAAATCTATCTAGGACCCAGCATGAAATATAAAAGTCATTTGGTTTTTATTGTATGAAGATTCCTCCACGGATGACTACAAAAATCTATCCTGAGCTTTGCCCTAAGATTGCAACTTCAGATCTCCTAATTTTTTAGAGCCCCACATTTCGTACCCTTTTGAGCTTTTAAAACCTTCAATTTGCACCCTAACCATCTATGCTTTTGCATGCTCCTCCTCGTTTAAAAATAGTTTCGTAGGAATAAAGTTAGGCACGTCGTCAAAGAGGTTCATGCTTATCCGTGGAAATCAGTCGAATTGAAAGATTCAAACACCCGTGTTTTATTATATAAAAAGGTTCCGTATTGGTCTAACTCTAGATAGGACGGTAAGTTTGTGGGCTCATGACCAATCACATCCGAATGGTTCTTCTTTTTGAAGTAACACTAGCATACAAATAGAAATGGACATTAAATCCAGTTTCTATGTTTCTGTATTTGTTTTAGGGCTTCTGCACAAGTAAATGTGTGCTAGACTATATGTCTATCATAAAGTGTGATTATCGAATTCGAGATATAAATATCGTAAATTAAGTCGATCTCATAAGTTGACATGTCAGTTGTATTTTTTTCTTTTTTCATCGCCGAAATATTTTATATTTCTATCAACCTTTTTGAAAACATGTTGTTTGTTTGCTCCACATTTTTGTTTTTGTCAATGGACAGCTAACGATAGGCCACTGCAGAGTCATGTTCTCGTTCCTTCCAACATCATTAATATTAGTCGGAGTGGCTATACATAAATCACGCCTTATGATCTCAACTGATCTATTCAGATTTATTTCACGAAAAAAAATGATTCAAGAAAGATTTTTCCCAGCATGGCCATTCGCATCATTTACAAAAGAAAAAAAGTAGTCATTGTTAATCACAATCTATGCCTAATAATTTTTTTTTGATAACGAAAATACTTTTCGTTTGTTCATTTTTTTAAGCTTTAGAAATGACCATTCAGGAAAATGTTTTCCCATCGTCGATTTTCCACCAAACAAATGGAATCCAGCGAGTTCATTTTTACTTTGTATTTTCATTTTCTGGTTGAGGAGCTTACGTATATTTACACTAGAGGTATGAACATTATACAATACAATAGAACTATTTAATTTCCCTAAATTAGGGCTAGTAACATGACCCATCTTAAAGTCAATCATGCCATCAAACAATCTGATATTATCCAAATCCAAAATACCTACTCTCTAATAATGTCTTGGCCGATCTCATCAGTATAAGAAACGTGGTACCTTGTCAAAAAACGTGACTTTCATGTCGTTTGACTTTGATGAAGGTTGGCTCCCCAATGTGCTGGCTAAAAGCCACTCAAAAGCAGCCAATTAGTGTCGTCTCACCTCAGAATTAGTGATCCAGACACAAATATATATATAATACACACACACAAACACACACACACACACACTTCTAAAAGGAGGATTAGGCAGGTAATGAACTCCTCATTGAAGAAAATATCATTAAATAGTCCACAGCTCAAAAGGTCAAAGGCTTCCCCTCACAATAATTTGTTCAAGTATTATCTTGTGTAAGCGACTTCTACTTGGCGACAATGGCCTCTCGCTTGCTTCTAGATCTTCTGTCCGACAACACATCTAATTTTATCCATACACGGCCTCTTGTATGACAGAAGCGTCCATATATCTATTAATTTGTGTGTCTATATTTATATATTCTTCCAATCTAGTCCCAAATCTATGGGTGCATCCAAAAGTCGCCACTGGTTTTTTTTTTATTTTTAAATTATCAATATCAGGAGACTACTGTTGTTCTACGCAACAGGTGAGAATACTGTTGAAAATACAAGTTCTGATAATGAATTCTAATTGACCATGATGTTGATAATTTTGAAGAAACTAGTGGTGATTTTCTGACGTATAGATAAATTTGAGATTAGAGTGAAAGTTGTGAATATTTTTTTAGATAAAAAAGATTTAGGGGCAAAGTTGAGATTGGACCTAAAGTTAGGGTTTTTTTTTTCTTTTTTTTACAGAATTAGGCGCCAATCTATCATTCCATGAAAATCCTAATGTAAAGGATGAAATGAGAGAGAAGTGCCCAATTGTTTGGTACTTAATTAGGGAAATTTAACTACTATATCAACACTCCATCCGAGTTATTAAACATATCAAACGACATACCAAATGTAGCTTGGTGTCTACAAACTAAAGTAATCGCATGCCAAGATTTCGATGAAATCTACATAGAACCCCACAACACATCTTGAGTTGATATGATAAATTGTTGTTTTCTCACTCGTACATGGACCCTCGCCGGTTTTGTCTAGATCCCAAAAGATTCCAACGCTCCCAAAGCAATCAATCATTGTATATGGAAAATCAAGAGGTGTCGGGGGAAGAGCACATTTGGTACATCTAATGTCAAATCGGATGGTTGGTTGTTTCCCCTTTGTCCTCTTTCAACTTGGCTACTCAAGTGGGGGGTGTGGTGCGATGAACTTCATTTCATTATCGCCACTATATTGGGTATTTTTCAGACTCCAAATGCTGGTAGGGCCCACGTAGTAATTATAGTAAGTTTTATCGAAAAAGGGGAGAAGTGACCGTCCCGATATCTGTCTAGCGACGACAGTCGTTGAATCTATCGATTAATAAATTTATAACATCCATCGGAATCCCGTATCGTATGATTTTCATCGTGTTTGTTACTGATGGAGGCTCCGATGTACGAAAGGTTTAGAGCGGGAAGGTGAAGGCTTTTTTGCTTTTCAACATACAACGACAAACACATCGCACCTATTGAATGAATTTCGTGTACCTTCTTAAGAAATTATCCGAATATCGTTTTTAGTTAATTATATATCGAGGATACTAGAAGTGATAAAGATGATGCAGCATCAGCTTTAATGGTCCGGAAAACACTAACAACATAATCCACCAAGTCGAAGGGAAAGAAAAGTTGGACTCACACTCCTTTGATTTAGACAGGTAACTTTTTTGTCTAAGCAGTAATTTCCAACTGGCCACAACTAATACCTGCACCTGCCAAAACTATTGCCTTAATCTTCATCTCCTATGTCATGTTGGGTCATGATCTGATGCTTGAATATAATACTCAAATCTTCATCTCCTATTTCAGAGCTAATTCACATTATCCGTCCATAACAATTCTCAGAAAAACGAATAAGAATAATCAATACTGACAATAATGTAGAAGAGTTATGCCGAGAAAGAGTTGCTTATCCAGTATCCTTCTTGGCATTGCCTCCGGCGTGGTTCGACTTGTCGGTACAGACATTCAAGCTCATACTCATCGTTCATTTATGCGAGGTTTCTGGTTAGAAATCCTGAATAATCAACAGTAACAATAACAACAATAACAGAGGAGAGTTACGCAAGCAAAGAGTTGCATATTCGCTATCCTTCTCTGCATTAAGCCTCGGGCGAGGTTCGATGCGTCGGTATAGACATTCAAGCACTATATCCGTCGTTCACTTATACGAGGACTCTGCTTAGAAATCCTGCTCCGAAGTTCGACCCGATTATTCTGCCTGTTCAGCACGCTCTGCTCGCGCACAAGCGCATACATACGAACACGCGTCTGCATATGCATGACAGATACAGTATGAAAAACACAGGAGGAACCCGAGATCTATCTGTTAGCGCATGCGTGTATGAGAATTGAGAATCACCTGGAAATACGCCTGCCACTGTAAAAAACATCACAATCTTAATTTGGGGAGGATTTTGATAGCATTTCACATCGGCGAAAACGCCGTATATTTATAATACTCAGATCATATCCCGGTATAGCCTTCATTAAATGTACATCGAAGGGAGACAGCTTATATATTTCACATAATTGAAAAACCTAATTACACCCCCCAAGAATTAAGAAACTTGAAGATCATAGCAGTTTCATTTCTTGTCGTCGCCATAGACGATGGCCTTTATGACACTGCCTCTTGGGGGTGGGAGCTTGCCGAAGGATGGGAATGGATTGGGCTTCGGTGGCGGATTTGGTGGTTTAGTACTCATCTTCCTCTTCTTCTTCTTCTTCTTCTTCTTCTTCTTCTTCTTCCTTGCGTGTGCCGCTGCTGAAGAGAGCTCAAAAGAGGCTCAGCAGCCACTCGATATTTGTACCCACGCTGCCACAAGTTGGAGTATTTTATACAACCTTCTTTCTTGTTTTCCTTCAACCCCACGTGGCTTAAGATCTCTTTCGTTTCCAAGAGCTCCAATCGCCACATGCCAAATACCTTAAGTGGGCACGTGAAGTGGGTCAGTCATTAATTATGGTGCCAAGACGACACCGTAAAAGGTTGGAGTCCCAAGAATTCCGCGGGGTTGCTCAAATGATAATCACAATCATCTTCTCACTCAAAAGAGCGGGTGTGAAACGGTGCCCCCTAGTCTTCCCTGCGTTCTTTGGCGATGTTGTCAATACATATGCGTGTTCGGATGGGGATTGTCGTATCCAGTGAAAAATAGTTGGATGATTGGAAGAGCTCTGAACGCCCTATATACGAATCTCGCTAACTCGGTTAAGTAGTACTACATACATATTAAATGTCTTTCGAGCCTCGAACAATCACATGGCCCTATGTGATGGGAAATTCAATGTTTCCAATTCAACATATGGCATACATCATGATCGTTAGAGTGTATTTGCATGTGGGTTACTATTAAAACCCAAAAGTCCTATTCAAAATTCTTTGCGTTGCAGCGTTAATTCTCATTACTATAAAGAGAGTAGTTCTGATTAGCGTATTGGGTCAGTCGTACTAAACTATCATTAGTATGTCCCTCATCATTTTTCTAACAATTGCAGCTATATATAATATCAATAGATGCATATAATAAAGAATTAGAGGCAGATGGGTATGACACGTATGGAGATCACTGCTTCTAATTAAGTTGGGCATGCCCATCTCATGAATCATTCTAAAAGTTTCTTTCATCTTAGGTAAAAATTAAACAAATGCCACAATTGTAGGCCTTTTATATGACAAAGAAGACGGATTAAGTACGTCGTAAGTCATAAATCAACTGTCATACAATCAAGCCTTACCCATTTTATTTCGGTTACAAGAGTCTTTCGCGTTCTGCGAAAAAATGTAGAATCAAGCCCTCGAACCATTCCCCAATTAGCGCCCGTCGGCATCAAAATAAAGCCACTTTCGATCCACGACTTGATTTGATGTATTTAAGAAAAAGAAGAAGTGGAGAGCTTGATCGACCATAAATTAAATATTTTAAAAATTGATTAATCAATAGGGGCAAACGTCTCATGCCCGAACGAGTTGCATGTGACGGAAGCATAATGGTCGAGTGACGTTGCGGGGCGACGTCGTCATGACGTTTTTTTTGGAATCAAGTTGCTACTTGCACGAATTATATCTTATGTGGTACGTGGCTCTTCGTTCGCCTTTCGTTTTGTTTTGATTGTGTGGGACGTCGCTTTCTCCCCCCACATATTGAAATTTAAGGAATTTCGTGCATTAAATTCAAGATTCATTCGAAACAAAAAGAAAAATTCAAGATTCATTCACGCATTCATTCGTTCTTTCAGCGTGCTGATCCGGTCTTTTCATTAGAAAAATGTTAGACGAGCAATAATTTAGGGGATAGTTATTCAAGGACGATAGCCAGTTCAATGCTAAACTTCATAATTCTAAACTTTTTTAACGATTATTCAATATAATTTTTTTAGTCAAAATTGATCAGTATCCACTAACGTGGTGGTCCAGTCAGAGGCGTGTCATCATAAGCGTAGCATAAATTTAGGTTTTTTGTGATAATTATCCCAATAGTTTAGTCATAGTAGAAACCCATTTTAGAGCCTAAGTAATTAGGGAAATTATTGTATGGAAAAAAATTAGGACAATTATTGGGAAAATTGTCCAAAAAGTCTAAATCTACTGCACTTTTGTCAATTGAGTGTTAAAACTTTCAATTTTGCCAATTGAATCCTAAACCTTTTTTAAGTGTCAATTGAGTACATCCGGTCAATTGACCAGAAAATTGATGACGTGGACACTGGCCGTCTTACGTGGCATGATCGGCACTGACGTGGATAATTTTTAATTTAATTTTAATATTTTTGGAATTTTATATTAATTTTTTCCTTTTCCTTTCCTGTTCTTTTTTTTTTTTCCTTCCATCTTTTCATTTTTTGTTTCCCATAGTGGTCGGGGATGGTTGTGGCCCTCGCCCAAATCTGGGCGAGGCCATTGCGGCCATGCGCGAGGCTGGCCTTGCCCCCAAACCATCACGAGGTGCGGCCATGGCCTCGCCTAGTGGCTAGTGAGCTCCGGCAAGTTGCTGGCCACTATGGGAAACAAAAAATGAAAAGATTGAAGAAAAAAATAAAAAAATAAAAAAGACAATGAAAAAGAAAAACATAAATAAAAAATTCTAAAAATATTAAAATATTATGAAAAATTGTCCTCGTCAACGCTGTGCCACGTAGGACAGTTAGTATCTACATCAATGATTTCTAGCTAAAATTAGTCAGATTAACTCAATTGAAAAAAATAATAAATGTTCAGAATTTAATTGACAAAATTGAAAGGTTTAAGACGTAATAAAAGTACAATAGGTTTATGATTTTTTTGGATAATTTTCTTGGCAATTATCTACAATCGAAAATATAGAAGAAAAAGATATGGTCTGTGTTTTCTTTTTCAGTTGTGAGATTCGACTTGATCTCTTTCCCTTAGTATGACCCACCAAAGGATAATTTCAAATTGTAATTCCGAGTTTCCAGAAAAGAAGAGGTCTATGAGGGGGGTTTGGCATCAAAGCATGGTCAAAACCCTAGCTTTTATTTTATTGAGATTTTTGTCATCATATTCATTAGTCAAAGTTTACTTTCCAAGTGATGGTTGATTGGAATCTTTGACTTCCAGAACGTTTGAACTCTTTTTTGGAACAATCCCAAGATCAAATCTTATCTTTGTGTAGGGCACATGAATTAAAACTTTAACCCCCACATTAGAGGCTCGTGTAGTTTTTTGTATTGCAAAACTACCATAAACGTATTATTTAAAAGTTTAAACAGTTAAGTGAAAGCATGATTCGATATTTCGATGTTTGAACGTATCATCATAAAATCTTTTGACTTTCTTAAGACGAAAAATTCCTTCTAAATTTACCGTGGAAATAGAAGATATTCTTTTCAACGAAGAAATCATGCAAGCAATTTAAGGTGACTTAAAAACGTTAGTATGTTGTGTACTTTTTCTAAATATATAATATTTTAGCATTTGGAAATTTACTTTAGTGAACCACATTCGGATCATCGTAATATTTTCAAAAGAACCCTATGTAATCAAATCCTTGGAACCTCATGCTGTGCTGCTTAATTGTGACATATCTTGTGTGGAGAGATTTTTTGTCTGCTGACATCTTGATGCGATTGTCTTGATAGGCTCACTAATCTCGAACTTTTGGATTGTGGGTATTCGGTGCGTGATAGTTGTGATAACGCAAAGATGGGATCGCAGGTTATGATTGCCCTCCCCACCCTATGTGGGACTGGTGAATATGGCAACACACATCCACCAAACGACCCAACTGGCTCTGCTGAATTCCCCATGGGCGGGAAAGAAGAAAAGCTTTATGTATTTCTGATTCTTCTGGTGCTGAATGATTGCAATTGTTTAAGTTCATTGCATGCCAGAGCAAGCACACACGTGCACACGCACAGAAAGAAAAAGGTGAAAATTTTCTGAGTAAGTTTTTGGTGGTTCTCACCCTGCTGAGGTTAGGCATGCTTCACTGTGAATGGACATCATCAGATCGGCTCTTTTGACCATCCTCTTCTAGGGCAACTTTTTCTTCAGATAGAACTTGATCCCATCATTCGGTTTGGAAGTTTGATGATATTAGGATGATTCCAGGTTGCGTATCCTGATTTTTCTTGGCCAAAAGAGTATTTTTTTTTCGAGTTAATCCTCATATTTTGAAAGTGTGTTACTTGTGAATGAGTATGTCTCTCATTTGAGTGGAAAATTACCAAAAAAAAGTTATAAACTTATAGTAAGTATGCCAATTCACTCATAAACTTTTAATTTGACTAATTTATTCCTCAACCTTTTTGACAATATACTAATTTAGTCCTTCCAGTCGATTTTGGCTGGAAATTATTAACGTGGATGCTGGGCGTGCCACGTAGGATAGTTGATGCTAACGTGTAGGGGTGTGCAAAAAAATCAGGAATCGCCCGAATCCCCCAGAATCGGACCGGAACCGGTGGCTTCTAAGGGAACCAATCCAGTTCTCGGTTCCAATTTTTGGAAACCGGTGGGTACTGGTCTAGTTCCCGGTTTCAGGTGTGGAACCGCCCATCCGGACCGGACCGGTAATATAATAATAAATATAATATTTTTTTTAATATTAAATTTTTTTAAAAAAGAAAAATCGTAAATCCCTGAACTAAATTTAACTCGCTCGACACTCATTGTCACGCCCCAAACCCTTGAGCGCACGAACATCCTTCCTTGGTCATGGAATTGTGACGTCCTAGGACGCGTCGCCGACCCATTCATTTTATCTTTCAATTATGCACATGCAAAAGCACAATATCTCTAGACGACAACAACAACAATAGGGATAGACAGGAAAATATACAACAAATATATATAAATACATTAACGGCAGTACATCAGGAGTTAATATATTTCAAGTCCGCCATGTAGACCTCCCCGATTACAACCATAAAGGATTGGGAGTTAACCTAACTCCTCTATTCACGAAGACAACCTCAAAAGGTGTGCCCCTTCAAAATATCCGGTTCCCATGAAATACAACGTGTACTCATATCTAAGCACCTGAAAAAAATGGTTAACAACAATGAGTGAGATAAATCTCA